GCAGAGCCTTTGATCGTGTCTCTTTAATTGTACGAGTCTTCGTGGGATGAAAAGGCTGACTCGTACACGCCCTCGGCATGCATCACAACGCGTCTTACGTTTGCCTATTCAAACGGTACAATGTAGCGTGCACGGGATGCACTCTTTATATATATATAGTGTATGTATATTGTACATACATACTATATTCTGGCTAAGTATCTACGCGCTGGAAATGGTGTGCAGAAATATTCCGTTTGCCGCTTCCTGCTCGTTTAATCAATGACATCTTTAGCCAGGGAGACGAATGATGCACCGTCTGGTAAACTGCAGTTCTTGGACGCGAATGAAAAAGCGGAGAGCGCCGAGCAGCGATACGGCTTTTATATGACGTCGAATATATTCGGTATCGCATTATTAACGAACCAGGAGTTACTCGAAGGAACGTTATTTATAGTGCGAAAATTGTTGCAAAAATATATTGAAATTTTCTTTTTAATACAGTTCCACTTAATGATATGCATATGGTAGCTGCACTTTGTACATCGAAGAGTGCCTCACTATGCATCCTGGTCCATGGAGTGTTCGATACGAATAAATAAATTTTCATGCGTGGGAAATTTTATTATTCCGTATAGAAGAATATTTTGCACCGTGCAGATTGTCTTTGGGTGTGCTTCGCACTACGTGGTGGCTATCGATGACATCTTTAGGAGAGTTGCGATAAGCAAGGAGCATGCTGGGAGTCGAGGACGCAGAAACCCACGTAGAGGAGGACAACGGGGAGTGTCCGGTGCATGATAAATCTGTTGCAGCTTAATTCGCATCAGCTGCATCAGCTGCACCAGCCTTCGGGTTGATGCACTTCGACTTGAACTCGTTCATCCACGCTCCCCTTGATTCGTTCCCCCCTCTCCTCCTACTTCAAGCTCCTCACCTTATTCCGCGATCCCCCTTTCTCCTGGTCCCGCGCGAGATCCGCACGAGATGATGTCACGGGGGGCGTGTCTCGTTGAGATGCGTACGGGAATTCTTTTGGCGTGTCTTATCGCTGATTTTTAAATATTTTTATTAGCGATTAATGCATCCCGTGCTTTTGACAGGTATCAGTTTCATAAATTGAATTTTTCATTAAGCCGCATACGCGGCGCATCAGGTAGCTCGAAAAGTGCGAGGGATATCGTGTAATACATTCGCTGGTATCGTATATGTATATAAATGTATATTGGACGTTGATAGGATGTCAATTAAATCGATAGGGATATCTTAATAATCGATTCTTATTATATTCTTTATTGGATCTTTATTAATGTCAGGTCCTGATATTTAATAATGAGATTTCTCTCACGGCTTTATGTATCGAACGTTAAGGTAGCGGATACGTCGCAGGGCATTACGCAACCCCATTAATTTCTAACACAGGGCAACTAGGCACTACGCGGATTCATGAATGTCTCAATGAAGATTTAACTCTACTAATGGCAACATAAATTATCACTAATACTCTCCGCGGTGTCGTGATTTGTTACGGCTGTGTTTCTAACATCGGCAGATATGACATCTCAATCGATAACGTGCCAGTCAACGAATCCGGAACCAAATTAAATGTATGCCTATAACAGTTGGCACCGACCTACCGTGACTCGTCGTAAATACGTGCCGATATTACCATAAGGGAATACAATGATCATTTATAACGATCGTATAGATGCGTTACGGGACTACAGATTAAAGTCTTATCCGCAATGCCCGTAATTTTTATCGAAGTTTATATTTTGGTAATATATGATGGAATTATATATTTTTTTTTGACAAACGGGATTTTTCGAAAGATACGGTAGATGGGTCAGTAACGGTATTCGCAATTAAATAAAAAAGATGGCGTCCCGCGAAACGTGATCTACGACGACCATGGGATTGTCGTCATCGACAGAAGATTCAATGTCGTCTGTCGAACTGTCCGAATTGTGGCTTCGATTCAACTAACAAGGCCCAGCCAGCCAAATAAAGACATCACCGATTGGCGTCATAAACATCTTCTCAGCGGGACGAGTAGCCAGTCAGTTTCTTCGTACGTCTGTATTTTGTAATGAGAACTGTTACTTCAAAAGTCGTTTGTAAGCGTTTCCCATATGGTGGTTTGTATAGCACAGGAGACACGCAAAGCATGGTTACTTTAGTAACGACGATTTTCAAATTTTTGTTGAAAGTCAATAAAGTCGAAAAGTCTTTTGTCGGATTTTCTTAATACGCCTAACTCGTAGAAATCAAATGAAAAAAAAAATAAATAAAAAGATTGATATTCTCATGTAGATATAACACGATAATACAAATATTGACATATACTTTGTTATTCATACCATGACCTCAGCCGAATTGTGTTGATCGTAGATACACTTGAAATAACCAGAGTTCCTTTGATCGGTCCAAATAAAGCTGTTTCGAGACGGTACCTAAATCTTGAGCAACGTGCAATGTGGAAGAGGCTGGGTTTCTCTATTTTCCTAAAATATGACTCATAAAAGGAAGTGGATGGCTCGTTTCGTAACCTAAATTCGAGTTATCGGTTTCATCTGTACCACATGTGTTTACGTGGGCACACGGGACGTGAATTAAGAACGCGACACCCGTATTTTGGAATTCAGAAGTCGAAACCGGATTAGCAGTTTAACCTCCGAAAAACTTGTTTAACCGCGTGTCCTGAGTAATCTCGAAGAATCTAGGAAGCCCCCAAGTGCCACTCCCAGGACTACATCCAGTATATCGTAAGTGCGTATATTGTATACTTGGCGGGATATACGGCAGTGTTTGGAATTATCGGTAACATCTACCGTGGCTCTAGTAACTACGAGTTATTACGAAGATGAGCCCATTATGTATTATACACGGTGAGTTTTTATTCCGATCAAGTACTATAGCCACTATATCCACTCATGCGAGGAACTCGAAGTGTGTAAGATTGGGTTAACTGCTGATGTAGACATAACAGGAGATGGGGTGTTTATAGAGCAATTTTTGAATTAGAAGATTAGTCCTGTGGGAGACGTTGAAAAAAAGAATTGAAATAGAAATTAATACTCTTTTTTTTTTTTTTTTTTTTTTTTTTTTTTTTTTTTTTTTTTTTTTTTTTTTTTTTTTTTTTTTTTTTCATTTGTTTCACGGCTCAACGATCGTTTATTATTTATTGCTGGGCAACTACGGAAATTAATAATTGCATGAATTTCTAAGAGTCTTCGACATATAGTCGAGTACTGTTAACTTCTGTCTATGAGATATATCAACGATATACACATATATACATATATACATATCGTAATGAAGGTATAATTACGAAATAAACGAAAGGGATCGAAAATATTTGTCCCACTTTAGTTTGATTCCCGCAGGTCGGGGCACTGCTTCTAATTAATTAGGATATTATTAATGATCGTTACGCGCTCATTACAAGTCGCTACTGTGAGAACGCAGCGTACCCGACTACACGGTCACCTTCTAGGTTTCATTGTAAAAAGTCCATCAGGCCTTTTATTAGTTACCGTTAATGTCCTACATCGCTCGATTTTCATTCCCGCTAATTTCGCAGTATCATCTCGTTCTGCTGGTATCGATCTCATGTTTCTTTTATTCCGCATTATAAGCCCGCACGAAAATTCACCATCATCGATATATAGTATCCCATTGGTAAATCGAGCGCGTCCTATCGTGCAGAAACGTTGAAAAATGGTAAGCGTAGCTACCGTTCGCGATATCTCCAAAGTCGAATTTCTCCCGCCATACAAATACAGCCGTCATAAAGATCGAGTACGTCTTATCTATTCCGAGAGTGTCTCGCGGCGGCGTCGTTGATTATTCGCCAAGCATAAAGTTTCATTCGCACATGTGTACGTACGGGTACGGCAGTCGCCTCCAGCCTGTACAAACAGTGTTGCGATATGTTATTAGCGCCCTATCGCGTTTTACGGTACACGATCGATTTATTTTGCCCGCTGGCACGTGGTCGGTTGGAATATAACGTTTCTCCACGTTGCCGATTTTTGATCATCCCGAAATTTCGTACTCGGTACGATGAAGTAATTTCTTTATACTCCTTGACAATCGTCATAGTGAACTGTCCACCGGCGATTAATCGAAAACATGTCTATTACGGTTGAAAGTCGAAAAAAAATTTTTTAAGTTTAAAAAAAAATTGAAAAATTATTTTCTTCACCTGACAGTACGTTGATTAACCGGTAATAAATAGAAATGCTACTGTTTCGTATATTACGTATATCGCACGTGAACGAGGAGAAACGATAGATTGAAAATAATGATGAATTCACATTGCCTAACGAAAGGAAATAATTTTCCCGGGAAAACGATCCAGTATTATCCATTGCCCACTGGCTATTGGCTGTTAGCTATTAGCGCTACGTCACGGCTGTGGTACAGGGTGGGCAATAGGTAACTCGGGTCAGACGAACCTCGTGGGAACTGGGTGTGATTAGTCCACATCAATAGTAACGCTAGTTATGCTAATTGCGCGAAAGCACTTCGGACCGGGCACCAATGACTACTGGCAAATAGGTAGATTAGATTCCTCATTCAGATGAGTCGTGCAAATCCTGCATACACAGTTACTCGTATATAGAGTTTATTGATTACAGGGTTGATCCATCATATGATCTATTATATGAAAAATAATCTATAACTCGATGCATAATAGATTCTGACTCGAGGCTTTTACTCGGCGGGTCACTTTGGATAAGCTAATGGCAAATAAATCGCTTAGGCACTATAGCCGTTTACGTAATACTTTATTATTCCCTTCCTTGCTGCGGCTTCTATACTGAGTTAGTTTCTCATCCGAAGGTACCGTTATAACAGCCTCGTTACGGATCTTATTGTTATAATTTGATCAGTGACAGACAGTCTTATGCAATCTCGCTGGGAACAGTGATTTTTACTATGGCGCTAGAGTCGAATGAATTTCTCAAGACATCGGTTCGGAGATGCTGAAGAATTTTTTTCGTTGTTTGTTACAGGCGGCGGGACCGCCGGTACAGCTTGAACCAGTCGATCTGTCCGTGAAGACTCCCGTGGTACTCCAAGTACCAAGATACAGTCCAGCAGGGAATATCGCAGCAGCCCGGAGGATCCCTTCGCCTTCAACGACACCAACGCCACCACCAGTCTGCGCGTCAACCGGTGAGTCAATAGTGACGGAATATTTTTATAATTCCTATTCTTTTCCCATGACGATTATTTTCTTCTGGGATTATTATTGTTGTGCCGGGGTTAGCGAGACCAGCTGGGTGGTACCTAGCTGCGTTTCGAGTTCACCAGGTACTCCTACTCCTGGTCTAGGAGCAGGCCTAGTTACTCCTTCCTGACACTTCTCAGCTGGTAGTAGGATTGGCGATATGCTCTTTACTCCTCCCTCGAGACTTCACTAGGTAAGGAGTAGGAGCGATGCTGGAGTGGGAGCTGAAAGTCTTCGATTTTATCTGCGTGGAAACACCGAAAACTTGAAACTTTATATCTCGGATGTCTTAATGGACCAAGGCTGTACCGAGTCTGCGACTATCTCGGAAACCCACGCGTTTAATGATTTCGATGTGAAAAATTGCTGAATAGTGATGTGGAGATGTGTATTATGTATATATATAACGAGGCTGATGACACTTGTTCCGTGCTAATGAATATTGCTGACGCCTTTTGCTGTCGCAGCATCCCTATTCAATTATTTGATAGGAGTATCGCACATTAATTCGCTCTTTGCTGACGGATGGCTTTCATTAAGTACCGCAGCTGCCTGAACGGTTCAAGGATACTAATTTCTTTGGTGCTCCCTTCGCTGGTTAATGCATATTATCGATTATTTCATTACGTGGATCCAGCATGTACAAGCCACTGAAAAATTTTAATCTCGTTATTGAATCTTGCGAGTGGTCGGTCCGCCCCACACTTTCATCTTTTTTTTCTATTTTTTTTTCTTTTTTAATACAATATTTAATATTTCTTTTTTATAATAGTCTCAAAACCCAAATCTACGACTTTTTCCCTCAATGCCTAAGGATCCTCACGGTAGTTCGTGCTATGTAATCTCTGTGTGTTTGCCGTTTCGCGGCTGGCTTGTAATTTTCTTTGACCCGCGTATTAAGCCCGCGGCAATTTCATTAGCCGATCTATGCTCATATGAACTTGTGCCTTGGCTCGTTGTATGGGATTATTAAAAATACCTGGGATAACCCTAATTTTACTTCCAACTTCACTCCACGCTCGTGGGATCCATACAACCTCATTGGGTTAATCGATAACCAATTTTCTACTGGATACTGTGATCTTTCAATAATCCAATTTATCGCTATATGTCGATATTAGTTATTTCATAATACAATTTGCGAGTACAAGGTAATTCAATTTCGCTTACCATGGCTATAACAAGCGTGATTACTAAAATCGTTTGGTAAAACCGTCCGCGAATACATATATATATATGCTGATCTTCGTCACTTCTGATACCTGTCAAAAATTTTCGTCTGGCTTTGATCCGTATTTTACTTACAAGCTTACTTAAGTACAGCTATATCAGTAGTCGGGTTCTCCATAATACAGGGTACCCTAATGGGTAATACACCGCCACTTTTGAACATCGCTACTTTATGCTGAAAGTACGCGCAGCCCATCCTTTAGTTTTTAATGATATCGAGTCCATTTAAAATTCCATATTTTCCCGCCTCAAACGGAAGAATTGCAGATTATGAAGTATACGCGAACGAAGCAGCCAGAATACACTGTACTGCTTCATACAGACCGTCTGGAATTCTCCATTATACAGGAGGCAGCTATCGCGCGACCATACTCAAACACACTTATGGATAAACCATAGAGATCTTCACCGATATTGCGTTAGTTTATGGGTTAATTATGTGAGACTTTTTCCATCGAGTGTGGCTAGTATTTCCTAGTATCCAATATTAATAGTCCACGATATCGAACTATCTCGCGGACAGAGAAATACTAATTTTATCTAGAAATATTTCTAGCCATTTATTTTTTACTTTCCTTTTTTTTTTTTGTTTAACGCACGGCATTCTCCTAGGCATACGTTTACGTGCCACCACGCGCGGTTATAGGCCTTGGACGAAGTCGATGCGTGAGTTCCTCACGGTATAACTTCATCCTTCGAGATTCCATTGTTTTACAATAAATGCGCGATTTCCTCGCGAGATAGGAAGATATTAAAGTTCGCTTAACATTGCCTGTTGGCTAACGGCTCACGTCCCCGTTCCTCGCGCGTCTATAAATCGCAGCGCGCGGCTATCGGAAAATTCCAATCGTGCGTGGCTACCATATACGTAAGGACGGTTGCATGTTGCATTAAACTTGCGCTCGCGACGGTTGGTGGGTGACGCAACCAAAAATGAAACGCCTTGGGAAACGCGTGGCGTTTCGATAGATACAGGAGGTGTACAAGACAGGAAGGCGGCGCCTTAAAGGGCTAGGTGTTACTCAACGGTGAGTCCAAAGTCATAAGACTTGGGTTCACGTTGCGAACGTACGTAGCATAGGACAGTGCGAAACGGTAGCAATCCCTTCTGTAGATAAAACTTATCTCTTTACTGACCCGAATACCAAGCTGGACTTGGATCAGGATATGTTGAGTTTCCTTTGCTTTTTCAACATTGACTGTTGACAAACGTATACCGCTCAGGTGGAAAAGTTTCACGTGATTTTCTTCGCTATCCGTAAAGGGAATTTTTCCCGGTATTATATCGCATACGAGGAAGATAAAAATGAACGTGTCTCATGCATATAATGTTAGTTGCAGTTAAATGAAATTTCATGAAGATTCCTCATGGAACGTTCGTAACGGAATACCGGCTACTGTTTTGCCCTAGGTATTTTAATAATAATTCGTTAGCTGCACACTTGATAAATTCACTTGTCTCGCGGAATGATTTAAACGGGTAGACGCGGAGGTCTGGGATTTATAACAAATTAGTTCTAAATCTTCCCGGTAAAGTTCCGTTTAAATACATAATTTAGAATTTGACCCGTCGGTACAGTCTAACCAAATTGGCCATTTATATTTGTCGTACAGTTTCATCGGCGCGTAAGCACCAGACCACACAGCGCCACCGGGTACACGGTTTTCTATACGGCCTAGCAGTTAATGTCGCCGTTACAATCTCAATCCCTCGCACGAAAAAATATAATTAAGGGCATGAAGATCGTAAGAAGGCATTTATTTTTTCGTCCCACCGCTAATTATTCTTCTACTGTTCAGCCGTTCTGCTGCCAGGGGCACGTATGCGGCGGCGCACACACACGTGGGTTGCCATGCTCGGAACGCATTAGCGTTACCTCATTATTTCCGTAACGCCTTTCATACGAATCGCACACGTTCTTTATTTTCGTTTCCTTTCTAAAGTCAAACATTATAAAAGAAGGCCTGTCACACTGTGGACATGCGGAATGAATGTGGTCGGGGCTTAGCCGGACACCAATTATTTACCCATGTAGATATCAGCAGGGCGTGTCCGGTACTCAATGAGAGAGATTCTATGCAAATGAATGACTGAGAATTCATCAAGGACTTCGCGGGGATAAACGTCGCTAGAGATTAGCACTTTACGTGCACGTGCGCGAACCCGTATTCCGCGATTAGCAAACTTGTCGCAGTGGCATACGTGTACGCTGTGTACGCGCATTCATATATAGGTATAGCGTACATACGGATTGCCGATGGAGAATTTCCAGTCGTGCAGTTTTGCGATGAGACTGGTGCTGCATTTTTTTTTTCCCCACCAGTCTAGCCAACCGGCAGGACTCTGCTGTCGGATAATCCTTCGCCGCTTGTTTCGCGTTACTGACTAATCGACCGCCAGGTATACTGATCTTGAGGAATAATGAAATAATCAAACTTAACTTGTCAGTGTCACTATGGTGTCGCGTCGCTTCACTATACTGTACTATACGTATACCTGATGGATTTGTTTTATTTATACGGACCTAATGCGAATTTATGATGAAGCCATAAGGCTTTGTGTCTTGCATACATAAAAAGTGGGACATTGACGTCGCTAGGCTTTGTTCAATTTCTTTTGTCCCCTATTTTCTAGGATTATCTGACGTACAGTATCTAGATGGTGGATATAGATTATTTTTTGGCGCTACGACCATATGGAAGCGACAGATTTTAGTCCTGCCGTTGGACCCAATCGTCGACTCGTTTGTCAAGGTCGTAAAATTCGATTGATTCCATATAGGTGCGATACGACACCCGTCGAAGGAAAACAATGAAAGCTCTATATTCGTTTAGCTTCGTAAATACTTGTCTCTCCCCTCTCGCATACGCTTTACGCTTAATTCGATTCATCTAGCATTGCATCCGCATTCAGTAGACATTTGCGCGCTTTTATTTCCCAGTTTTACAACACGAAAGATGAGCGATAATCTTTCGTCTGTTGGGAGTCGCTCCGAGTGGAGGCTCCCAGAGTTTGATTGTCTTTGATTAATTGCTCGTACTGTTTCTCGGCGGCCGGAAGCTCTTTGCTGCTAATCTAGATAATGCTTTACCGTATTCCGAGTCGAAGTAACGCAGTAACGTAACGTAAACAACGAGCTGGTAACAGTAATGATACCGAGAAGTCCTAAAACTTTATGTAACTCTTTTCTCTCTTTGTTCCCTGAACCGTGAGCTATGTAAGAAAAAAAGGAGAAACACTAAATTTCTCAGTGTAATCCCAACCCACAGCAGGACCGTTTCAATTATTCATCCGATAAGCCACCTAATCACTCAAATTTTCCTAGGCTTTTCACGAAGGGCGCGGCTCGTGCACTTTGTCGCTCGAGATATATCTCATCGAATGGTAAAGGATACGCGCGGAGAAGCTGGATCGCGGTAAGACAAGTAGCAACAGGCAACGGTCATATCGCGCTTGGAGCATTCCGAGATACGATCTTAGATCCAGGGTATACTGTTTCTAAAGTACAGATTATAGACGGCAGCTTGTGCTGTATGTACAGCTATGTGTTGTGTGTTTTTATATATGTATATATATACGAGTGAGACTCAGCAAGAGACTAGGTGACGGTGCACTAGTCTATTCTTACGTTGCGCGAGCATTGCCAGCAGGTAATTCTGATAAGGGACTCTTTTATCTGGCCCATAATTAATTGGAGTAACGCATACTGTCATC